CCCTTAAATGTTATGTATACTACTAGATCGATGTACACACACACACTGACATACGCCCATAACTATCATGTGCACTTCTAGAACAATGTACACACTGACGTCATTGATAATAACCACACTTATGGATTGTGTACACTCAGGAGAACACACACACACACACACACACACACACACACACACACACACACACACACACACACACACACACGTTCCCAGGAGAGCGACCCAGAGTAGTGCCTCCTGTACATTGCTGGAGTTGTACACACATTATGTTTCCTCAGAGACGCCCCCCTCCCGCCCCCACCTGTGCCTCATGTACACTAATGAAGCACGTGTGTGTGTGTGTGTGTGTATGCGACTGTACGAGTATTTATGTGACTATGTGTATGTATGTATGTATGTATGTATGTAATAACCAGCTCGTGTAGGTATATTGGTCGCGGTCACTGTGTTATTTTATCACTGTGGTCTAAAAGTTTTGTGTTTTCGAGAGTCTTGTCCGAAGGTTGATAGTTGTATGGCATGTTTATGACCCCGAGGCCCTCACCCCCTCACCCATCACCCCTCACCCATCACCCCTCACCCATCACCCCTCACCCCCTCACCCCTCACGTTCTCTAAAGTGTGAGATAAATTAAAGATGGCAGGAGTTTTGCCTTGAGACTCTACTATATATTATATACTAGTTAAGAATGATATAGGGATTGTTATATCGAGGGTCCGTTAGAAGTAAAACCCTCCATTTAACGGATTTTATGGAGAGAGAAGTCCGGTATATCGAGGGTTTCACTGTACCGATATCTCATTTTCTATGAGATATTATTATCTAAGGTGATGGAATCCGATATTTGTCGATATTCATTTGTTTGTTTTCTTTACCGATATTTAGTGTGGCAGGTAGTGTACAGGGTGTTACAGTGTACAGGGTGTTACAGTGTGTTACAGTGTACAGGGTGTTACAGGTAAACAGTGTACAGGGTGTTACAGGTACAGGGGGTAAAGGCAGTGTAAGAGCAGCAGGGTAAAAGCTAGTGTTACAGTGTACAGGGTGTTACAGTGTACAGGGTGTTATAGTACAGGGAAAGCAGTGTACAGGGTGTTACAGTGTACAGGGTGTTACAGTGTACAGGGTGTTACAGTGTACAGGGTGTTACAGTGTACAGGGTGTTACAGTGTACAGGGTGTTACAGTGTACAGGGTGTTACAGTGTACAGGGTGTTACAGGGTGTTAGAGTGTACAGGGTGTTACAGGGTGTTACAGTGTACAGGGTGTTACAGTGTACAGGGTGTTACAGGGTGTTACAGTGTACAGGGTGTTACAGGGTGTTACAGTGTACAGGGTGTTACAGTGTACAGGGTGTTACAGTGTGTACAGGGTGTTACAGGTACAGGGTGTTACAGTGTACAGGGTGTTACAGTGTACAGGGTGTTACAGGTACAGTGTGTTACAGGTACAGGGTGTTACAGTGTATGTGGTAAGTGCAGTGCTGGTGGTGTTACAGTGTGTTACAGTGTACAGGGGTGTTACAGTGTACAGGTGTTACAGTGTACAGGGTGTTACAGTGTACAGGGAGGCAGTGTACAGTGTGTTACAGTGTACAGGGTGTTACAGGTACAGGGTGTTACAGTGTACAGGGTGTTACAGTGTACAGGGTGTTACAGTGTATGTGGTGTTACAGTGTACAATGTGTTACAGTGTACAGGGTGTTACAGTGTACAATGTGTTACAGTGTACAGGGTGTTACAGTGTACAATGTGTTACAGTGTACAGGGTGTTACAGTGTACAATGTGTTACAGTGTACAGGGTGTTACAGTGTACAGGGTGTTACAGTGTACAGGGTGTTACAGTCTACAGGGTGTTACAGTGTACAGAGTGTTACAGTGTACATGGTGTTACAGTGTACAGTGTTACAGTGTACAGGATGTTACAGTGTACAGGGTGTTACAATATGCATGATTTACCATTGGACGGTATTTGAGAGTCGGGAGCCGATAATTCCGGGTTGGTGCCGATGGCGTGTAGCAGTTGTGTACGTGGGTTACATACGGGTCGTGAACATGATTTCTGGAGAGCTGTATTCTGGTATATTTTTCTTTATTTTTACAGTTATTACGGCAGAGAGGGTATATTTTTTATTGAATATACTTATTTTTAGTATAATCTTCACTTTGAATATATCCAGTTATTTTTAATAGTATGCTAAATATACTCACCTCGTCTGTATGTTTGTTAGTAAAGGTTTATTATTTCCTTGTGATTATACCCATTGTTTTTAATGTGGGGTCCTCACTATGGGTATATTTAGTATGCGCGGTATACACACACACAAGCGTCATCGTAATAGCATGGTAAATATACTTCCATCGTCTGTATGTATGTTGGCTGTGGTTAAGAGTCGTTTGTTGTATTTGTGTGTGGTGTTATGGTGTAAAAATGCATATTGTTATGACTGGTGTTTAGTGTGTGCACAGCTGCGTATATTTAGATATGCTTGGCGTTTTGCGTAAAGTTTTTCGTCTTGCGTAAATTTTTATTCGTATTGTATGAATCATTTTTGCGTTGAGTCTTGTTATATAGATTATGTATGCTAAAACATTTACCTATGTATGTATGTATGTATGTATGTACGTACGATTTATCCTGATTTATATACACATTGGTGAGTGTATGCAGTGTATGTGTGGGAGGAGGTACGCGCACACACACACACACACACACACACACACACACACACACACATTGATCCTGTCAGATATTTCTCCGGGAATTATAAATGTTATGTCACTTATGAATGCTGGAAGGAGGGAAGAGGGAGAGAGGGAATCTAATCCTTCTCCCCTCCCCTCCCCTCCCTTCCCCTCCCCCCCCCCCCTCCCTCTCCCTCCCCACCTTATCCCCTAAACACTCGCTCAATCTTCCATCTCTCTTCATACATCCGCCATTATCGTGTTTTCCGACGATTTATCACATCTTTTATTGATATTTCCATCTAGCATCATCCTTATCTATGCTTATTCCCCCTTTCTTTCTTTCTTTCTTTCTTTCTTCACGTAATGGCTAATAATATACTCGCTACTGAAGACTATTGAGGATTTTGTTATTTATCTTAAGATTGAACACCATCAAGGAGCAGTTTCCAATCCCTTAAGTACACTGTAGGTTTATCCGTCTATAGTATAAGGTACCAGCTGGGTTTATCCGTCTATAGTATAAGGTACCAGCTGGGTTTATCCGTCTATACTCTTCCTAAGACGATGGTTCATAAGAGAGAAAACTTGATAAAAACAAAGAGGTAATTGATCGTAAGGGTTTTAAATGTGGGTTAGCTCTGTCTTACCTCGTTATGGGTTGTTGAGTTGTGTACAGTAATCGTGTGTGTGTGTGTGTGTGTGTGTGTGTATGTGTGTGTGTGTGTGTGTGTGTGTGTGTGTGTGTGTGTGTGTGTGTATATTACTATTATTTATATTTTGTGTTTTACTACGACAATTACTTCAACAACTACTATTATTACTACTATTTTTGTTATCGTTGTTGTTATTATTGTTGTTGCTGTTATTGTTATTTTTTTTCTGTTGTTGTTGTCGTTGTTTTGTTATTATTTTTGCTCTTGTTATTGTTGTTATTGTTGTTGTTATTATTTTCTTCATTGTTTTTGTCATTGTTGTTGTTGTTGTGAGGGTAAGTGTATCACATGTTACAGTCAGGTCATTATTACAAGGTCAAGGTCATGTAATTGTTGTCATCAAGTCAAAATTAATTGTTAGTGTCATTGACTTACATTACCTGGACCATAACTTGTGGACTAACGAAGATGTGGTAGTTAGTGCTGTAATTACCGTGTCAGGTGAAGGTGTCAGGTGTCATACTCAGGTGATTTGTATGACACTCAGCTGGAGGTGTCAGGTGTCATATTATAGTGAGTTGTATGATGCTATAAGGTGTCATAGTGAAGTCGCTCGTATGACACGCAGGTAAAGGTGTGTCAGGTGTCATAATGAGATAATCATTTGTATGACACCTTTACCTGCTGTGATATAATTTACTATATACTGTAATCTAATTTCATATAATAATATTTTTAAACTATATCAACTTACCTATATACCTGGTCTAAATATCTTAACACCTGTATATACCTGGTCTATATATCTTAACACCTGTATATACCTGGTCTATATATCTTAACACCTATATATACCTGGTCTATATATCTTAACACCTGTATATACCTGGTCTATATATCTTAACACCTGTATATACCTGGTCTATATATCTTAACACCTGTATATACCTGGTCTATATATCTTAACACCTATATATACCTGGTCTTTATATCATTAATTTATTATATATTTAACACCTATTATATATACCTGTTGTGTTATAATACTCCCTTATATAATTCCATACCTATATACCTGTTCTATAATTGATTGATTGTTGCCATATATTAATAGGTTAAGTCAGGTATATTGGTCAGGTGTGTGTTTTGTGTTTTATTGTTTCCTTCCTTTCTCTCTTTTCTCTTTCTCTATCCTTTTCTGTCTCTTCCTCCTCCCTCTTCCCGTGTCTCTCTCCCCTTCCCATTTCTCCCCTTCCTTGTCTTTGTCATATCTGCCTCTTCTCTCCCTTCTCCTCTCTCCCTGTCAAGCCTTCTTCCCTTCCTATTTCCCCTCTCCCTATCTTATCTTATCACGCTCCTCTTCTTCCTCTTTTACTTCTATCTCCCCTCCCCTCCCCATACCTTTATCACCCCCCTTTCTCCCCCTCACCTCCTCTCCGTCCCTCAATCCTCCCTCCATTTCCTGTTCTACCCTCCTCTACCTATCTCTATTTCACCCCCTCCCTCCTCCCCCCCATTTCCTGTCTTCTCCTCCTCTTGCCCCAATCTCCTCAGAAATGGCCTGAGCTATTAATCAATGGAGATGTTGCTCATGATAATTTCCCCTCATCTCCGCCATAGGTCAGCGCTAATTGCTATCTCTGGTTCATTTGCAGAAGGGCTGAGGGAGTATTTCAGCAAGTTTGGTGATATTAATGAAGTGATGGTCATGAAAGATCCCACAACGCGTCGTTCCAGGTATGTGTCTCTCTGTTTACATCCAGGTTTTATTGTGGTTTGGTGTGGGTGTTTGGTTTTGAGAGGGTGGATTGTGTGTGTGTGTGTGTGTGTGTGTGTGTGTGTGTGTGTGTGTGTGTGTGTGTGTGTGTGTACGTGACTGTGTGTACACTCTATAATTCTACTTGTATGTATATTTACTTGGTTACATTAACACGCCTAAAAGTTCGCTTCTTATGCTGATTTTGGGGCTCTGATATTGACTCGCTTTTAATCCTAACTTCTGTACTTGATCTGTCTGTGAAATATACTGTGTGTACACCTACCCCACCAATCTATTTTCTTTCTCCCCACCTACCCCATCTTTCATCTCTACTTCCATTTTTTCCTCATCTTCCATCTTTTTCCCTCACCCCTCTATATTGTCTCCTCTCCATCACTCCTCCCTCACACCTCGAAAAAACACACATCTTTCCTCCTTCCCTCTTTTCCTGTCTCTCTCCTCCCTCTTCCTGCCCCTCCTCCTTCCCCTCCACCCTCCCCCGGTACAAAGAGGGGCGGTTTTGTATTCCCTAAAAAGTTGTTCTGCGTTTTAAAAGTTCCAGCGGCACTTTTGTACATGAAAAAACAAATTAAATAAATCGCAAATGAAATAAATACAATAAATAAATAAATTGATGAAAGATGAAGAATGATAAGCAGAAGAAAATAAAGAGAGGAAGGAGGGATAAGGAGATGGAGAGAAAGAAGGAGAGAAGGATGGAGGAATGAGAAGGAAGGAAAGATAGACAGAAGGATGGGGGAAATGAGAAGGAAGGAAAGATGGAAATAGGGAGAGAAGGAAGGACGGAAGGACAGAGCAAAGAGAAGGAAAGATGGAGAGAATCGGTGAAGGAGGGAGAGAATGAGGGAGAGAGGGAGGGACATCATTTTCGACACACCACCATCAATTCACCACACCACCACTACCACCACCACTACCACCACACCACCACCACCACTACCACCACACTACCACTCACCACCAAGAGTCCAAGCTATACCACGTTCAGTTTTTTGTTGCCAAGTCAAAACTATCGCGTGTTTTTTTGCCTGGGTTCTTCCTCAGCGCCTTGTTGTGACTGTCACTGGCAGCGTGGTCGAGTTTTTGTCTGGCTACACTGGTTCCAAATTTTTACCGAGTGAACAAACAATGGCTGCCAGGCTTTGTTTTGGTGGTGTGGTGAGTGGGGGTGGGGGTGGTGAGGGTGAAGGGAGCAGGTGGTGATTGGGGGTGTGGTGAAGTGTGAGTGGTGAAGGAAAGTCTGAGGGAGAGGGTTGATGCTTTTTGATGGTTGTGGTGAGGGGGGGTGATGAGTGGGGGTGGTGAGTGGGGGTGGGGAGGGAGGGTGGGGGGATATGATGTGGGCGATGAAGGAGAGAGGGTTTTGAGTTGGGGGAGGTGAGGGAGAGGAGGAAGTGAGAAGGAAGAGAGTGGTGAGATGGAGAGAGAGAGGAGAGAAGGAGAGAGAGTGAGAGGGAGGAAGTGAGGTAGGGAGAGAGCAATGAGGGGAGAGGAAGGAGGGTGAGGACAAAAGGTTTTGACAATTTGGTGTTCCTGGAATTGAGAGAGAGAGAGAGAGAGAGAGAGAGAGAGAGAGAGAGAGAGAGAAAGTGAATACAATAAGAGAGAAAAGAGAAGAAAAACAAACCAATAAAAAAAATAAAAAATAAAAATAACTTAAAATACATAAAAAATAAACCGTTTTAACTGTGCATTGTTGAGTTATTTATTGTTATTTATTTACCTTTGTTTTACTTGACATTATACACGATGTTATACACTGTTATTTATCACCTTAAGAACATTATGTTTTGGTTATTTACTGTTCTTGTCCACTTGTTTGAGACCTTTGTGCTGTTTTAGAATAATTTCTTTTACAATCCAGGAATTATTTTATATTTAGATGATGATGATGACATATTATTTATTATCACCAATCACTATCATCATCATCATCATCATTATCATCATCATCATCATCATCATCATCATCATCATCATCATCATCATCATCACCATCATCATTACCTCATATCATTATCATCATCATCATCATCATTATATCATCATCATCATCATCATCATCATCATCATCATCACCTACATCATCATCATCATTACCATCATCATCATCATTACTAATATCATCATCATCATCATCATCATCACTCATATCATCATCATCATCACTATCACATCATCATCATTACTATCATCATCATCATTACCATCATTCATAACATCACCATTCATCATCATCACCATCATTATCATCATACATCATCAATCATCATCATTATCATCATTACTATTCACCATACATCATATCATCATTCATCATCATCATCATCATATCATTAACATCATCATTACTAATAATATTCATCATTACACCATACATTACTATCATTATTATTAATACATTATAATATTATTATTATTATTATTATTATTATTATTATTATCATTATCATCACTCATCATCATCATCATCATCATCATCATCATCATCATTCTTAGTTTGTTGTTTATTATGACTTATGCGCGTCCTTGAGGAAGTGAATTGTTTATAAATAAATTCGTCCTTGGGTGACGTTGAAGGTACGTTCTGAAGTTAACGTATTGCTAACCAGGTGTTTATACCCTTGTTGCATTAAGAGGTAACTATAAACTCTCTCTCCGTAATTTATTTTATTTCACGATCTTTTATGATTTATATTTCATCATGTTTACTTGATTTCGTCAGGATAGTCTCACCGAGCGCTTAAACCTGGGTAGTTAGCTCTTAAACCGGGGTAGTTAGAACTTAAACCGAGGTAGTTAGAACTTAAACCGGGGTAGTTAGAACTTAAACCGGGGTAGTTAGAACTTAAACCGGGGTAGTTAGAACTTAAACCGGGGTAGTTAGCGCTTAAACCGGGGTAGTTAGAACTTAAACCGGGGTAGTTAGCGCTTAAACCGGGGTAGTTAGCGCTTAAACCGGGGTAGTTAGAACTTAAACCGGGGTAGTTAGAACTTAAATCGGGGTAGTTAGCGCTAAAATCGGGGTAGTTAGCGCTTAAACTTGTCTCACCGACTTAGCGCTCAGAGAACGTGTGGATGGATCAAGCGCTAACACCCTCCTCGTAGAGTTAGCGCACAGAGAAACGAGGCAGTTAGCGTTGACACTTACCTTAGCTACTGAGTGAGTGAAGGTTGAGACGGGCGGACCGCAGGCAGCTAAAGTGATTACAGCACATTTTTTGTAACTTATTATTTACTAAGTTACTTACGTCAGTTATCACCGATGGGCCGAGGTCGTAAAGTGTGTCGGGGTCGTTAAGAGAAGAGAGAAAAAAAAAAAAAGAGAGAGTATATATATATTGAGTCAAACTGTAGCTGTAGGTCGTTCAGTTAGTGCCGCCGAGATCCTGGGATGATGGACGATGTATTCTGGAACCAAGACTAAACCTTCTGGTGTTTTCCCTCTCGTCTGGTGATGCTGATGGGTGAAAATGCCTCGAATTGCCGTTAATTATCCTGGGGTGAAGCGCTTCATAGTATAATAATGATGTTAATTTCATAATAAACTACGCGATCAATGGAGTTTATCATGTCGCCAGAGTGATTTAGATGAATAAAGAAGGTGTTAGGTGTAGATGGTGTGGCAATAGTGTGGCGGCGTCGTTCGTTCACGTCACATCCCACCCCGGCGCACGTGAGCGTGACGTCACAGGTGTGGGCGGGGCTGAGGGGCGTGACGTCATAGCTCTGGCGGTCCCCAGCCCAGATTAGTGATTTTGACTCACTCTGAAATGTCGTACACGCACTCTACCCGTCTACCGGGCCACTCTACCCGTCTACCGGGCCGCTCTACCCGTCTACCGGGCCACTCTACCTGTCTACTGGCCACTCTACCCGTCTACCGGCCACTTACCCGTCTACCGGGCCACTCTACCTGTCTACGGGTCACTCTACCCGTCTATCGGGCCACTCTACCTGTCTACGGCCACTCTACCTGTCTACCGCCACTTACCCGTCTACTGGGCCACTCTACCCGTCTACCGGCCACTTACCTGTCTACCGGCCACTCTACCTGTCTGGCACACTTACCTGTCTACCGGGTCACTCTACCTGTCTACCGGTCACTCTATAACCCTACCTGTCTACCGGCCACCTACCTGTCTACCGGGCCACTCTACCTGTCTACCGGGTCACTCTACCTGTCTACCGGGTCACTCTATAACTCTACCTGTCTACCGGGTCACTTCTTACCTGTCTGCCACTCTACCTGTCTCGGGCCACTCTACCCGTCTACCGGGTCACTTATAACTATCTGTCTACCGGGCCACTTACCTGTCTACCGGCCGCCTCTACCTGTCTACAGCCACTCTACCCGTCTACCGAGTCACTTACCCGTCTACCGGGTCACTCTACCTGTCTACCGGGCCGCTCTACCTGTCTACCGGGCCACTCACCTGTCTGCCGGGCCCTCTCTGTACGCACCATCTGTCTACTAGGCCACTCTACCCGTCTACCGGGCCGTTCCACCGTACCGGGCCGCTCTACCTGTCTACCGGGCCACTCTACCCGTCTACCGGGCCACCTATCTGTACCGGGTCACCATCTGTCCACAAGGCCACTCTACCTGTCTACCGGGCCGCTCTACCGTCTACCGGGCCTCTACCTGTCTACCGGCCACTCTCTACCGTCTACCGGGCCGCTCTACCTGTCTACCAGGCCGCTCTACCTGTCTACCAGGCACTCTACCTGTCTACCGGGCCACTACCTGTCTACCGGGCCACTTACCTGTCTACCGGCCATCTACCGTCGGGCCGTTCTACCGTCACTAATATCTCTCACCGTTTAATCTCTCCCTGTCTGTTGTAGATTACGTTCCCCGTTAACGGTGGTAACGTCCTGTTGATGGCATTTTTAAAACCTACCGATGATACTTGTCGATTTTAACCCTTCCTCACCCTCCCCTACCCCCTTTCTCC